TCCTATTCTGTGACTTAAAGGCAAACCCCGGGATTAGCCCGACTAGTAGGAAGGATACCGCGAGGGAAATTGTAGGGTCCGTACCTTCATAGATCGTGCCAGCTTCGTTGCCAAATTGCGCGATTAGGGCGCTAATCCTTACGAACCTGCAACCATCGACCCTCGTTGCAACGCTTCCCACCCACCGATTGATAGAGATCAGCGTGCTCTCTCGAACGGCGTGATCTCTCGCGTGTTTTGTCTTCTTTGATCGCCCTGTCTCGCCATCGTACCACATACTAAGGCCTTAATACTTACTGTAGGTTAAGGCCTTAATTTTAGCGTTCCCGATGATTTCTCTTGCTTTCCTTCCCACTTTCAGTTCATTCCGCAGCTCAGCCATCACTACGCAGCGCTCTTATTCACTAGCTTTATCCCGGAATTTGCTTTTACCTTAGACTTTTCTCTCCGATGAACCCTCGTCCGTCGTTCAAGTGTCATTTTGCGCAGTGTTGATCCATTTAAGTACCACTGTTTCAGAAGTCGCCCTGCTATGCCACGGAGGTTGAAGCACTGAACAGCAGACGTACTGGTTGCCTCGATGTTCAAAACGGTTGTGAAAGTACATCCCGTAAGAAGCAGCACACCTCCGACTGCAAGAGCCACATCTTCTAGTGAAAGCTGTTCATCTTTTGATGAATGCGCTGCATCTTCCAGTGAAAGTTCTTCATCCTCCTCCATCGGAATTGATAACACTGACATCGCCAAAGGTGAGTTTTTTGTTCAGTTGTTCTACTATTCTTTTTTTACAGTACCGATCTTGCACTATTGTTTTTATCAATTACGGTATGTATGTATCAGTACCGTACTTGCATAAGCAGGGCATATTTAAAAACATTAAAAAAAGCACGCGTCTGGATGTGCAGGAGGGTGACGCTCGAGTCCAACGCCGCGCTTTCCACTCATGCGCCGCGCGCGACATGCCACAAATGTGCGCGTCGCTACGCCATGACCTAACGACACACATCCTGACAACGCTCGACGTAAGTGTGAGTGGGCCCAGTGCTCACATGGCGGAGTTCACACTTCTTATTCTAATTTAGGCGGGTACATCGATGGGTACATCGGATAGTTTCGCTCACATGTTCAGCGTACTTCTTTATGGCCGATGTCAGACTTTGCGAATCGCGCGATTCGCTAGCGTCCGCGGTCGCGTTGCGGTACCAGCCAATTGAGTGATTCACTGGCCGCGACCGCAGACGCTAGCGAATCGCGCGATTCGCAAAGTCTGACATCGGCCTTATCCAGCTTGTAACTTCAGATTACCACTTGTGTCACCTACCTTTGTGTTGTTCATTGCGTTTTCCGAAGGGGCTCCGGTAATATTTTTTATTCTTCCCCGCACCTCATCGAGTTTTTGAATAGAATCTCTTTCCATTGAATTCCCTCCACTAATTTCTTTGTTTCCCCCCACTCTTTCGCTCAGAACAATTCATGACGAGATGCAACCACAATTCGGCGTTTATTTCCCCCCCCCCAATTATCGTGCAGTGGGCCATACCATATTCAACCCTCGCAACACGATCCTGATTTGGAAAATAGAATTGCGGTGGCGCATCCTCCAAAGAGATTGGTGAGATCTGAGGAACGCTTTAATTCTAATCCAATCTACATTAATCCTTGCCCTCTTTTATTTTTCTATGTATTTTAGCATTAATATTAAATCCATTGATTTTGATTTATTCAAAGAAAAGTATAAAATTTGTCGCTGGGCCTACAGGGCTCTGCGATACCTAATCCTCTGCTTGCTGAAGTCCTCTGTGCGTCTGCGCCTCCCCCACGGCATTGACAGGCAGAGTAGGCAGAGGAGACGGCGGGCCCTGTACGCGTCCCACCAAACCTAAAAATCATACAAAATGAAATAATCTATTCCGATTTGGTGTCATTGTGGAATTTTCTTTTTAACGAATTAGTGTCTCATCAATCACCACTATCATATCCACTGCCTCTGAATTCCCGGTTAATCTATTTACGGGGGACATCACGCGGCGGTGCATTCCTGCAAATTTTGAAATTCTTAAACTGTGATAAGATTACATATTTCAGATGATACTCGACCATTTCGAGCAACGCCGTTATCGACGAAGGAAATTTTGGGTATCATCGGATTTCTAGCGATATTCTCCTTTATTTATTTAGCCTATGCACAACATCATAAAACGTTGTTCTACGTGATGACGAGGTACGCTGACAGTTGATCTCCTTCGTCTGGCTTTTCATGTTTTATTTACGGCTTAATAAATAAGACACTCAAACGAATGGACCCATTAGCGAGCTGCTTTGACCTGAATTAAACCGATAATTCATTGGTTGTAATGGGTCTTTCGGGTGTGCGTCGTCAGTACACGTCGCTCGCCGCACGCGGCCTCCGCGCGACGAGTTCGCGCGGCGACCTCGTAGAGACCACCTAGTACGTTTTGTCGCGCGCTCTGAATATTAATGACATGAGCACGGGTCGTTTTGCTGTCGTTAAAGCACGTAAATCACTGCCCCGAAACTATGTCAATATCATACTAATCGACTGATTTCAGTTTAATAGCTCTATGGATTATGTTTATTTATGCTGCGGGTATTCTATGTGTTTTATATATGGTAATTATTGGATATGAACGGAAACCTCAGCCAGACGACGACATCGAGAAAGACGACGTGGGCAGTGTAGAACATCAGGAATCCAAATTGTAGACACTAAACAAGTCAGACGTCGTTCGGATAGTTTTAAATGACATAGATTCTATGTTTTTGTCTTTCAACATTTCTTGTGTCATTTCATGTTGTTTTGTTGGAAACTGGCTCTTGAATGGACAACTGAATGATGTAATGAATGTCGTGTGTGTCAATTGGTCCGAAATTCACTTGTCCATGTTCCAGTAGTGGAATCGTATCTCGACAAGAGATGTTCGCTAAATAAAGATCAAACGATGAAGCATTGATTTGTGTTCATCAATCCCTTTGGAATGCGCCATGCACCTGAATTCATATCGAAATCGCAAAGCTCTTTTGTTCGAAGGCCGTGGTGCTTTCCATAAAGGTAGAATGTGGGTATTTGAAACTCATTCAGAAAGGGCAAGAACAAAGTATTCCAGATGAGGCTCCACCTTTTTGCGGTCGATTCGAATATAGATATGATGTAACAACGAGCAACGCAAGTGCTCAAGAAACCGGACGAGTAAAGGCAAACCCCGGGATTAGCCCGACTTTGTGGGAAGGATACCGCGAGGAAATTGTAAGGTCCTTACCTATCC